TTTCAATTTGAACTTAAACCATTACATATCAGACGTATTAAGACCCCTGGCTCTGTCCTATCTTCGATGCCTTTTTAACGCTGCTTTTAAGCAGCAAAATGCACGACTGCATTTTACTCGAACTGTTATATGCTTTCTTGATACAAAAGAAGTAAGAATTACCTTGGCCAGCACATTCTCCAGATAATTAAGCAATTAAGAAACATGTTGATAATGATTTCCGAGCAATTGACTCGTAACAAATCACTATTTACTTGTGTTAATGAACTGCTGTATAATTTTGAAGCTGTATTAGCAGGCATCTCCAAAAAATAGGATAAAATATGGATCCTGAGCCAGACGAATAAATGCTTTTATTTCGGCCAGAAATGACAACATCTGGTATCGATTTTCCTTAAATTTAATTGCTTGCACTTTCGAATATAATGCATGTGTTCAATAAATACCATTCTGCTATTTAAATTTTTTCCAGTCGCAGCAATTTCAATGGCGATCAGTAAATGCAATCCTTTTGTAGTTAGAATATTTAAAAAAAATGGAGATAAAGAAAAACTTTACAAGGTCAATAGTAAAAAAGCCACAAATGTTTTTTTAAATTCAGTTTTTTACGCAATTACAATTATCTGAAGTGAAGTTGATTTGCCCATCTTTCATTAAAATATGAAATTGTGTGCTAGGAATTTTAATCTAATCGAACTTTAAATAAATAATTTAAATTTTTGAAGGAAACAAATGCTGTTTTCTGTAAACTACTATCAACACTATTAACTCTTTAAATTAAACGCTTTTTAAATTAAAGAATGTATAGTTTGAGTATATCACTGATCACTGTTTACATTAAATTCAATGCTTTGAAAAACAGAACTTTTTACGTTGTGGAAATTAATTTATGCAAATCTTAATATCATAAAAGAGCTAGAATAGACCAATAGTGGGAAATATGAGAAAGTTTAAAAATTTTCACTAACTAGAAATAATTATAAATGCTTGTAAAATGTTTTCATAAATGAGTTAAAATCTTCTTTTAATGTATGTACGAAAACATTTAATTTACAAAGAAATCGCCTTAAATTTTAGACCAATTTTAAAAAGCTTAACTGAAAATTCAGCACGTTTGTAGCACAATTTAAATTTTCAATTGTTCATAATTCAAAAAGTTTTACTAAGAAAGACAGTATTCTTATTCGATTTGACATTACACTGCGTAGTAAGCTGAAGCTGTAATCTGACTCAAGACTAGATTTTTATAAAAATGTCTGGGATCTTCATTACTGGCATTATATAATTTTATCAAATAGCCAGTTATACATTTCGTTTCAATAATTGAAATGTTGACAATAAAAAATCTCCAAAATGATGAAATCGATACTAAATTCAGTTCTCCAGAAACTAAAAATATATGTTTACTAAGCACTATTCCAACTCTTATCCATGAATGAAAACTTTTCTTTGAAACTTCAAGAGAGACCTATAAAATTCAATTTTTTTTTATCTTTCGAAACCATTGACTCTATAATTTATAAATAAATAAATCTGGTTTTAAGCTTGTATTACATTTCATTTCAATGATTGAAATATTGATACTAAGAAAAATCCCCAAAATGACGAAATCAATCAAATAATATGTAAATTGAAAATAATCATCTAGAATTGATCCTAAATTCGGTTGCTAAGAAATTTTAGACTAAAGATAAATGTTCGTTAAGCACTATTCCAACTCTTATCCACGAATGGAAACTTTTCTTCGAAACTTTAAGAGAGACCCGTAAAGTTCAAAAAATATTTTTTTTTTATTCTTCGAAACCATATTCGAATTGATATTGCACTGTATAATTAAGTCACAGCTGCAATCTGACACGAAGCAGAAAAACTTGATCATGATTAAAGTTTTTGGTGCCCAGCTGGTTTGCAAATCGTAGTGCTCCAGGGCGGAAAGTTTGTGAACTGACTGCCTTGCATCGACGACTAAATCGAATTATGCCAAGTATTGGATGCATTCGCTTGGGGTTGACGGAAGTTTTTAGGGAAGGTTCTTTGAAGCATAAGCAAAACTTCTTTTTAAATTTACATCATAAGAATAAGAAGTAGATGGACAGGAATGAAGCATAAAAAAAAGTTATTCTTGAATAGCGTACCAATTCGATGATTGTAAGCAGTTACGGAAAGAGAAAGAAAAACATATTGCAAGAACGAAGAGCGTATTGAAGATATCGATTTTTTCACAAACAGTGTAAGGGGACTTTGAAAAAAAAAACGGATAAAAAAAGGGAAATATTAAATAACTGAGACGTGAAAGAGAAAAAAAAGAAAAGTTCTTGAGCTGAAAAAGTTTCCCCAGCGCCGTTGTTTGCAGTGCTTAGCATTCGTTTTCAGAAATTTGAGGAATGTAAACAGTAGAATATCACTTTTTTGGGAGGTCTTTATTAGGAATATTTTCTTTTATTTTGATCGGTTTTTTCCCTACACTTCTTTTGGGAAAAGTTTAAAAATATGTTCGAAGAAAGCATACATTGAACTTTTCTGCGTTCATAACTTATTAACGATTCGAATTTTTATAACAATAGAAAAAATGATTTTAAAAAGATACATAATAAGTGTTGAGTTAAAGTTTTTTAAAAAATATCTAATTTACATAAAGATTTCTGAGGAAATGAAACAATATAAGAGGTTTTCATCATTAGAAAATAGTTTTTTTTAAATATTTATTTAACAGCAGTTTTGTCTGCTATCGAACAATAGTTTCCAGAAATGAGAAATCCTATTAATATATTATATGAATACTATATGTGTGTATTTCAAAACTATATTATAATATACACTCATATCACTATATTCATATCATATCACACTCATGTCATATCATAATATTCACTATATCATAATAATACTCGGTTATATTTTATAAATACATTCGATACTCTAAATTAAGCTTTAAAACGTAGGTAAAAAAACACAAATAATTAAAACAGGAAGCTTTTGAAAAGCAAAATACTGTTATCTGGATATTGATGACATGTCAGTTATATTTTTAAAATACTAGGAGACTCCAACCTAGTTCATCAAAACTTTCACTTTCATCATTGCATTTTTTTAAGTTGAATTTTTTAAAAAAAGCAGACATATAATTTCGTTAAAAAAATATATAGTTATTAAAATTTTATGTAAGCATATTTCGTTATTATGTTAATCGAAACGAAATGAACGATTATCTGTAATTGAATCAACTGTAATCAGAAAAAATTTTAAACTTGAGAAAACAAAACTTGTGACAAAAAATAAAGAAATGAAAGAGAAGTAACTTTAGTCGTTCGTTAATGATGTATAAGTATAATTTTATGTAATTACATGAATTCTATTTGGATATGGTTTGTATATCTGTTGAGCTCCTTAATTCAGTGTTTTTTACATTTCTAAGAAACTATGTATAAATGATAAGATTTTATATCTACCAATACCAACATCTCTCACTCTCATATTTTTTTGCGACTTTGTGACATTGACTAAAGCCTGATCACATAAAATCATTATCTCGAGGGAAATACATGTAACTTTTTTACGACAATGAATAAATAAACACTAAAGTAAAAATAGTGCGAAAAAAATTGAGAAAAAAAAGCATTGCAATAACTTTCGAATAAATTGGAATTTCAACAAAAAAAAAAAATTAATAGATTACATTAAGTTCGCTTATAAAAATTGCACTTTCAGCACGTCAGATTTCAACTCTACGGTTGCAAGTCAGTGAACTGCAAAGCAGCCATGTAGGTAATTTTCCTAAATTTATATTTTTTAAGTCTATATTTTTTAAGTTGCAAATTTCAATAGTAATATTTGAAAGTAATTTTTTTCCATCGTGCTTTCATATATTTTTCTAGAAACCTTCGTAATTTCAAGTTAAGTCTTATAGATTTTCAGAAGTAATACCATGTGAAACATAAATATGACCACTCATAACATCATTTTACTTTGGAAAATGATGTTAATTGTAAAACATAGTGATAAAAAAGGTTGATTTGAGCAATATATCCAAAGAATAAAGGGACGAAATTGTTGATCCCCCATAGTTATTTTCACGTAATAAAGGTCTCACAGTAACACACTGTTCCCTGTATATTGTTGAAGTCAAGTATCACTGGCAGCGGTCAGTGTGCGGGTGTGTGATCACTTTGATCAGCTTTTGAAGGGATCGAGGGTATGCTGTATCGATCCAAGACAAACTGTTCTACCGTTAAGTAATCAACTCCACATGTAAGTAGTCGGGCTACCGAAACGGGGAAAAAATCGTCTCTGCAAAGGATCAAAGTTGTGATGGAATGTCTTCGGATCATACGAATAACTCCAAGAAGAGAGAAGGCCACAGCAGCGATTACCAAGAAGTTTGATCTTTGAGTAATCAAAACGTAGTGATATCTTTTTAATTTTCATCCATTGCACGGCTTAGTAGCCCGAACGAAGAGATATCTTTCTTATTTTTCCTCCACTGCGCAGTTGATGTTCATTTCGTTGGAATACTAAATTGACCCGTGTTGAGGCTTTCTCTCTTCAAGGAGGTGTTGATTATACTCAGGGAAGTTTCTAGACCATTGCCAGCAAGTAGCCCATTGTGTGGCTCTAGTGCACGTAAATAAAGTATTACCACTACAAGTTTTAAGGTCTGGCGTTATTTTGAGTAAGAATTATTCCTCATCGACTTACTAGCGTTGTCTGCTTTTGACTGTGTGAGCCTGTAACACATTTGTAACTGAAACTAGCTAACTTCAGCTTTGATAATTTCGCTATTGATAATTTCGCTCCACCAAAAATAAACAGGCTTAATAAAAACTTTTTCAGATACCTAATAGTTTTTTGTTTTTTTTTAACGGTAACTAAATATTATTCTGTTTAGAACAAAGCGTTTTCAATCAAAGCATTTAAAGTTAGGAGTTGCCTGAAATAACTTTCAAGTTGTTTTGTACTTACTTTAGAACTAACATATTAATTCAAATTTTTTATAGACTTACTTATTATAAAGCACAATGTCAGGTAACCAAATCTGCTCAGCAGGTACGTATAAATGTTGAACACCGCCATATTCATCTGGATCCCATTTCAATTTGTGATCAAACCATTCCTGAAAATAATTAAAAAGAAAACAAAAATTAAAAACAGTACAGTATTTTACATTAGACTACATCCAATTTAGCCATATGAACATCTGCAACTGTTAAATATCTTTAAAAGATTGATTTTTTTCAAATTCTGAACTTGTTTTTATGCTGATTTTTTTTCATTTTCCTAAAATATTTATGGGGGGGGGGAATTTTGAAATTTCTAATTACTAAAGGGGACATGCATCCAGTTTTTAACACAATATGATCTAATAAAGCCCTTAAAATACTTTAAACAGTTACAGTTTTTAAAGTTCCTTTTATCACAAAATAAACGTGAATCTAGAATTTGAATATACTCTGTTATTAGGCAACAAGCGTCATAAATACAGTTTAGATAATATACAAAATGACTTTCAAAATTAAAACTTCTTTACTGAAAAATAATGCTTTTAATTCGGTTTGTTTCAAATTTGTGTGTGTGAGTTCTATATTGAAGAGGACTTTTTAACAAACTAAGTTTGCTTTGCTTCGAAAATGAAAAATACTATTTTTCATCAAAACATCATTTCTTTTTTAACCTCCTTCTCTTTTTGCCTTGCGTTTTAGCTTTAAGAAATTCAAATCATTTTCTAAAGTTTTATTGAAAAATTCCATTGAAGGAGAGTTTGAAATTCTCTAAAGAGTAACATATTTGCTTCGGCAGTTTTCTTTTACACTTCTTTTNCGATAAAAAAAAGAAAGAAAAAAGAAGTACTATAACTTCAACCAACAGACTTAAGAAAGTAAAGTCGTAGTTCCAGGAACAAAAGAACTGAAAAAAATAAACGGCAGACGAGAACTTTAATTAAGGCTGTAACAGCTGCTAGTTTGTTAGCATTGATAATGATGTTCCTCTTTAGGTTGGCATGACAGTTATCACTGCTCGTTTTTGATTATTATTCTCGAGACTAATTACTGCTTTTATCTTATTCAGTTCAGCTTTGAAAAATGTAAAAGCAATATGTTTCGATTTGTTGGCAGAAATTTATCGACCATATTTGAATTCCTGCATTAATGAGAACATTTCTTTTGGTCTTCAATTTTTTCCCCATTTTTTTTTTCAGGACGTTAAGTTAGTAGAAAGTTAAATAATTAAAAAATAAATGCAAATTTTCAGAATTACATTCATTAAAGTTTAATGAAAGAAGGAGTAAAGATCGCTATTTTTTTTCTTTTTTAAAAGGAAAGAAGTGCATCTAATTTATTTAACAGTTCTAGGAAATTAAATTCAGTCAAACTAGTTTCTAGAGGCAAAAACAGTAATAATTAAAAAGCGTTAGAAAAGAGTTAAGATGTAGGAGTTAATTATGTTTATTTAAGAACTAAAAATTTTTTTTATTAACTTTGTTAGAAGTTTAAGGTTTTACAAAAGAAATAATCTTAAATAAGGCGTAATTAATATTAAATATTTGCACTGTACTAGATTTAATATTCATGTTACGAATAAATATCTTTTGTAATCAGTGTTGTACATATTAATTAAGAAATTGTTTACAAAAGATATCAAATTGCAATATTGAGCACAGCATATAACTAATATTTCCTTCTTAAACAATAATTATAAAAAAATAAGTTATAATGCTAATATATTAGAACAAAAATAAAACAGTTATTAGCAACTTTATCAAAATAGAGCGTAAATATTTTAAAATTCTCGTTCAATAACCAAGTATTATATTATATCTATAATAATATAATGATAAGTTTGTGTGTCTGTCTATCTTTTCGTTTATACTAGCGTTCTGAAATTTGGACAGAGGGTGAAAAAAAAGCAATTTTTCCACCCAATCCTAAAAATCGTTTAAAAATTTCAATTAAATCGAACAGAATCATATTTGCGCCACTGATATAAATGAAACTGCAAACATATCTATTTTTTTTCACATATTTTAAACATACCATCAATGATGTTTGCTTGCTTAAAACTCATAAATGAAAAAATGAGTTTATTGCATGTTCTTAAATATTTGACTATTTTTTATTCGTTATATCAAATAAATTCAATTATCGAACTGAACGTGGTTGCATAGAAGGACACAACACTAAATTAATATTTCTTAAATAATCTGAAACCTACGTGTTTATTTTTTTTTTAATGATAATACTTTTAAAACGCATTTTTCTATAAAACTAAGTAATTTAAGACCAATGGTATTTGAAATTTAAAAAATGTAAGTTTTGTACGGAAAAGCAAAATGAATGGAGAAATAGTAATAAACCGTTTAAGAGAATGATAAAAAAATCACTATTCTATTATTAACGGCAATGATTCTTATTTAATTTTGGTAGAAGATACTAATTGGAATAAAAAAGAGTTAGTTATGTACTAAAGAGCAAAATTAACCGTTTACATTACAATGTTCCAAAAATGGAACCTGGATTAAAAAATTGAATTCAATGAGAAATTAAAGTTTAAATAATGTTAGTTTTCATGCATTTAAAATGTACTTGATGAAATATTTTTTTTTTTTTGCATTTAGTTACATTCTGTTTCCATGATTAATTAATTTTTAATGAAGTTCAGAAATTTGATATAATTTGTAAAGCTTTATCATGCTCGTAATGTAATTTACCAAATATCTATATTTAATAATACGACGACAATACTTACAAGCTTTTAAACGGATAATATCACCCTCAGCTTGGCATCAGATTCGAAATTTTATTTTAAAATCAAAATGTAAGTTTGAAACCTTATGTTCCATTTTAGGAACATAGGAATTTCAAGGGTTCTATTTTTAGATTTCAAGTTATGCATTGGGTTATGCTGTTGCATTTCATTCGATTGGTATTGTGACACTCATTCAAGATAAATAATGATGCTTGAATAGAAAATATATTTTTAACTATTTGTAATAAAGTAACTTTAAATTATACACTTTTTTTTTTAATTGAAATGCATATTCTCCCCCCCCCCATTATAAGAGAATGCATTGAAACTTTTCTTTCTATTTCAGAATTCCATATTATAAACTCAACATCGCTACCAGCACAGTATAGAATGACATTAGACTTACAAAGAAAGGAATCATCTTCATTTAATAATATGTGCATTAAATTCATTATAGAAAATTTTCCTTTGATAATTATTCTCTGAGGGCAAAGGGTGTACAGCAATAGATGTTCAGGAAAATAGGATTGACTACAGTCAAATAGACATCAATAGATTTGTTAAATAGACATCAACTTGATTGTTAATAATTTTTTTAAACTTTTAGTTATTCCGCAGTCAGTTCTAAAATATATCGGAATTGTGGAAAAATTTATTTAGAATCTTACTAGAACATTAAGAATATCCAAATTGTACTAAACCCTGCCAAAAAAAAAAAAAAAAAAAAAAANAAAAAAAAAAAAAAAAAAAAAAAAAAAAAAAAAAAAAAAAAAAAAGAAAAGAAAAAAAAAAGATGAAAATTAGAGCCACATCATATCTTTAAAACATCTAAAAACCATCTTTTGATGAAAAATAAAATCCTCATTAAATTCAGTGAAAATAAAATCATTGTCTTAATTAAATAAGCAAAATTCTTTGCTTATAACTAATATATCTTCCGAATATATAAGTATTTCTGTGTCTTTCCTCCGCATTAATTAATAATTAGTTAGTCTGCCTTTTATCATTTTTCACTTGTTACACATTATTAAAAACGCCCATCGATATGACAGCATTAAAATTACTTTCTAATTGCTAAATTACTCATACTAGGTGAAACAAAAATAAAATTTTACTCCGAAACCTGCATCCGCAAAAACAACACTGATTTAATAAAATTGGATACATTTAGGTAGTAGCTCTTTCCTAACACTTTATTTTGATTAAAACTGGCAAGATGGTGGTGATATATTCCAGAATTAATTATATTCTCGAAGCACCATTGTTTGCAAGTTTTGCTTCACGAGTAAAAATTTATACCCTGGCATTAGAAATTTGCTTGAAGTTTATTTTTCTTTTTCAGCCCTCCTAGTTCTTAGGCTATCAAATTAAACATGGCCCGCCTGTCTTCGCTTAAAAGCATAATTATAAGATTCGTTGCGTCTAATTAATTATTTACCTCATTATGTTATTACTTTATCGATCGCTTTCAGCTCATTTTTTGTTCTTCTAACTTCGATACAATAAAGGTTTCGGAATTGTAACAGAACGATGGAATTATATTTCCATTAAGAGCACTGATGTTATTTCTGTTTAAAAATAAAGAAATGTACTATTTTAACAGCCAACTTTACAGCAAAATTTCGAATTTTAGAACTTTATTAATTCCCTCTGCCCAAATAATTGTGCCTATTTCCATGCTCTAATAAGTATGTAAGTCAATGATATGTATGATAAGCCCACCGTATTATATTACTTTTATTCGTTAAATCTCTAATAATTTACTATTGATTGTTTTCAGCTCAATTTTAGATCTTCAATCTTAGTATAAAAATTTGTGAATTGTAAAAAACGATTGGATTAAATTTCCGTATTATATTACTTTTATTCGTTAAATCTCTAATAATTTACTACTGATTGTTTTCAGCTCAATTTTTGATCTTCAATCTTAGTATAAAAATTTGTGAATTGTAAATGAACAATTGGATTAAATTTCAGTATTATATTATTTTTATTCGTTAAATCTCTAATAATTTACCATTGATTGTTTTCAGCTCAATATTTGATCTTCAATCTTTGTATAAAAATTTGTGAATTGTAAATGAACAATTGGATTAAATTTCAGTATTATATTACTTTTATTCGTTAAATCTCTAATAATTTACCATTGATTGTTTTCAGCTAAATTTTTGAACTTCAATCTTAGTATAAAAATTTGTGAATTGTAAATGAACAATTGGATTAAATTTCAGTATTATATTATTTTTATTCGTTAAATCTCTAATAATTTACCATTGATTGTTTTCAGCTCAATATTTGATCTTCAATCTTTGTATAAAAATTTGTGAATTGTAAATGAACAATTGGATTAAATTTCAGTATTATATTACT